CGGCAACCTTAATAGCTAATTTGGATGGTTGACAATCACCGAACTAATCCACCGCTCCTATGCTGATCTTATAATACTCCGAGTTGACTCTTCCAGGCTTTGAAAATTGTGACTGTCTGCTCGATGTAGATGCTTATGTTTATGAATTGGATGAGTTTCAACTTATGTAGTTTATGTACGTAGGAATGTTTAAGAAGTACGCGCGTTGGTTAGCACAACGAACGTAATGTAAAAATATCTTCTCTATGTCTAATAAAGTCACAGGCCTAAACCATCAGGTCAAAGACATAATTAAAAGATATACTAGCAGATACTAGGGTGAGGTGACCGTCAATCCTCCCTTAGAGAGTGCTTATGCTAATGAGTATGTTATGAAGTGTATGAACAAAAGTCCTAGTACCAGTAGTATGCGTGTAGTGTGTAAGAGTCAGCCGACCGTAACAATCACACTAGAATGGAGCAGTGACCATCTACCCTTCTAGGCGGGTGAATATATCTATATGTATGCCACGGGACGCATGAGTGAAAATGTATCTCTTACTGGTGTGCATATAATGCATATTTGCTCACAGGACAAGTATACCTATGTGTATGCCAAGGGATCCATTCAATGAAAAATTGTGTTATCGGTTTGCATATAGACTATACTTGCCCCTGATGCGACGTTCGAGTTCCAAGACCTCGGGGGTTACAGCGACGTTTTCACGAAGTCATATTCATGCGGTACGTTTGTAGCCTCGGAAGCGGATTCTAATCCAAATAAGCCGATCGGCTTTAATGAGTGAAACTTTACCAACACCCTATCGCACAAAACTAATGAAAAAAAGTTTTAGATCAATAAAGATACGAGTGTTGCAGGATGTTATTCAAAAACAAATCTGAAGATTTTAAAATGTGTATATTTTCAGAACATCAGTACATAATGTTCACATGTTTCCAAATTCTGTCGATATTTGTTTTTATTAAAATACAACTTTGTCTTTTTAACTTGATAACAAGGTATGTATAAGCACAATTTTATTCGTAGGGATTTGAATCTTCTCTCTAACGATATGTATAGACTACAATTAGTCAATCTTTTTTGGCATATATCTCGAGCGAATTGTCTCGATAGTGCAATTAATTCACATGTAGTTTTTAACAAAGTTTGATATCGGCTATCAGTAGGATCCAAGGCTCTTGTTTCTTCAGATGAATGAGATGACATTTAGTTTTACTTGTAATAGTTTGAATATTCTTCCTAATGATACTGCTGAGGCGATACTCTCAGAACGATCATATGTCAAAAAGACTAGTCAGCTGCAGTCTGTAAACATCAACAATCGAATAGTTCAAACAATTGCATATTGTATTATAAGTACACAAGTTTATAGATAATAGAATTTACTTACTGATTATATAGTTATTAATTCTGCTTTGAAACACAGTTGATGTGAGTGACAATGATATTGTCTAAGCAGAATCAAATGAAGGGGGATTCAAAATTGGAATTCTGATTCTTCAATCACTAGGTCATCGATTCTTGTTACGTGAACTTAGTGATGAGCTTTTTCATTTATATTCTTGAGAAAATCATTTCGGTAGAGTAATTAGGTCATTTTCATGAAAACTCCCATCGTCTGTTTTTGGCATGTATTTTTCGATTAGGACAATGCAGAAATATCATAGTATATTTGCTTAATTATGTGAAAATCTATAAATAAATTAAGTGAATGGCTATCAACGGTATGTAGTACAAACTATCAGAACGAGTGAGAATGTTGCTCAGTGAAAAAAAGAGTATTGAGGAACGCGCAATAGAAGATCAGCAAAGAGGATATTATATTGGTTGAGTTTAGTTAATTAAATGCATCACTTTCGTACGAATAAATAAGCATTTCTGGCAAATACGAATGGTATTAATGGAAATGATAGTCGGTTGTCTAGTTGGAGATTGATTTTAACAAAACAATGATTTTGCAGTAATGAAGTAAAAGAGAAAGTTACATGCTATCAAATATATGAAATTCCGTTGCTCATTTTGACCAGGAAAATTCAGCTGCGATAAAATCTATTGTACTAGAGTTGGATATCACAAGTGACCAAAACAGTAGTTGCCACGTTGCACTATTAGATCGATAAGTTAAGATATAAGATTTTGCCACCATCACTCGGTCAAATGAGTATTTGTTATTGAAAATAGTCTTTAAGTCAAGTTTCATTTTGTGTTGGTTTACTGTACATGGTTCATCAGTAAAACTCACAATTTAATGTTCCATAAGTAACATTTAACTATCTTAACGTCATAAAAAACTGTAATCAATGATACTTCAAAGCCGATCGGTTGTTAGCTGGATATTGTGAAGTTTACCTGAAAGACAGAAAGATATAGGATGAACACTGTTGATTACGATTTGATTATCCATACTTGAGAAAATACGTCTACTAAACTGTAAAGTTTGAAACAGGTAATATATGTTTGTTTGTATTGTATAACACTTACGTATTTTGTTGATGAAGTTGATGTGTGGTTGTTAAACATGGGTTAGGAATGGGTTATAATGATCTATCACCAGTATCCCTTCAGACAACAGGCACACGGTAAGTCTAAGAACGGGGCGTAGGCAGTACATCTAAATACAAGAAGAGGAGACATTTTAAAACTAACTAGATTGTATAATATACGGCAAGATGCAAAAGGATGGTCAAAGGCTGTGTGTACATATTAGATAAACACTTAATAAGTTTATTCTCGTTACTTCCAAACTTTTAATATGTTGCCGATTCTAGTATCTTTTTATATACTGTATCATATATTTTAAGAAAATATGTCGGTTAATGAGTGCCATGAAATATTATTTTTATCTATACCAGAGTTCAATTTCTCCGAGGAGAATTTCTGAGCTAACGTTTATGCAAACTACTAATAATACATGAATAGTAGAATTATCCCGATGAACAGTACGTTTTAATGCTAAAGTAGGCTAAAAATCACTCAAAACGTGTGTATTGATACTTATTGAAACACAAAAAGAAATGTATGAGTCTAATAAAATTTTGTAACCACTGAATCAAATGTTTCCAATATTTAAAAAGTAATTTTTTGTTTATCATATGCATGTTAACCTTCTTCTTTTAACTATTTAGTTAAACATTTGACTATATTTTCATAAATCATTGTCAAATTGTAGTGTTATACACTACTACTCTATTAGTATGATTTCACCATCACATACATATAAGTGTAGGGCCATGATGTTAAGCTCATTACAAAGAAATATCGATTGGCTTTCTTCGTCTTGTTTTCAATATATCATAATTAGCATTGAATTAATAGCTTATAGAGATTTTAGCAGATGAGTAATGAAATTGTATTAACTATACCGTGGTTTCAAACACTCAGTTATGTATCTCTTCATCAGTACCAATACTCGGTGTCTACAAATTGGTATTTGTGTAATGAGTTATATAGATTTTCAAATTTTACAAATTACAAGTAAACTACCTGAGATTTGTGCCGATGATGTGTGTGTGGTCACACATACATAGGGAGGAGCAATCGTGATCTGAAAACTAGGGTGGGTGAACATGTACCAAAATGGTTGTAAAAACAAATACAGTCAAATGACCTAATAAGAGTAGAGGATAAACATCCATCATCCTCTATTGCTAAACATATAATCCAAACAGGTCATAAGATTGATCTAAACTCGGCTTTGGTTGTGTTGTTTAAAAGTGTAATAGGGCGCATACTAAGGTTTATTGAAGCCTTAGCCATACGAAAATTCAAAACCCCTTTGTGTATTCAAAAACAGTTTGTTCTCTCTTTAAACCTACCCTGGTAATATTAGCTTATTATCCAGAGTGATTAGGTGTCAAATTCATTCGCTGAGATTTTACAAATATATTATTCCTATTTACATCTTACATCAACTCGGCGCTCAAATACTGTAAAACTATTCGTTCTAATTTAGACGAGAGTTCTTATATATAGGTGTCAAATTGTTTTCACATCATTTTATCACTATTATCCTTGTCTATTCTTACCCCTATTTCCAGTCTAGTTGACCTTTTATTTTTATATGTAAATGTTCTTAACAAGTATATGTGTGATCAGATTGTTCGAAATGTATTGCGCTAATATATTACATAGTTCTGATAATCTTCGTCTTCTCATTACATTATCAAAATTTATCAAAGGGACTAATTGCTTTAAAAATCTTTTTATTTGTTACTTTAGACTTCAGTATCATTAATTAATAATAATCTTAACAGCATAATTAAAAATGCATTTATCTTTGTGATGGTCTGGCTTTGCTTAAATCCTATGTTGTTAATACGTAGTGTGAATTCTATTTCCATAAGATGTATGTGTTAGAAAATATAAAAAGTCAAGTTTTATTTGATCTTTATTTTAATTAATTGCCGTGTTATCTTCTCAAAGTATTTTTCTTGCATAAAAGGGAGAAATTCATGGACAAGTTTCATCTTAGGATTGATGTTGAATGAGTAAATTATATTGAGAGCATTAGTGAAAATTAAGAAAATATTAAAGTATAAGAATCTTAAGAAAATGTCACTTTCAGTTAAAATTAAGGACTTAGTTAAACAATTATTAAAAACTAAAAAGAGCATCTGTTTTGTGCATATTCAACACCCAACCATGGATAGAACTTCGGAATTGCAGTCTCATATCCAAATTTGACAGTCTGAACGTTTCATTTCAATCACATTGTGATATCTTTCAACCACCTTCCAATATCCTTCTTGATTGACCGACTCACACTCAAAACGCTTGAATTCCGCCGATCACAGTTTCTCACTAGAATTCCGTTGCCTACCACTGTAATTTAGTCACTCGCTAAAGTATAATGAACAGATAAATAAAAACGACTTAGTGATAAAGTACATACAAACAACATGGAATACAAATCTATGTTATTTGTATTGTATAACAACGAAAAATAACTAAATATTTTGGCTAGTACATTTATTTGAAGTAATTTCATAAAAAACGAATTCACCAACCAACGTTCAGGGCAAGGAAAATGGGCCAATGAGGAAATACATGTATTTATTGGACGACAGTAACAATAGTGATTATAGGAGTAGTAGTAGTAGTTCTCATGTCCTACTTAAATTTGTTTTTATATTATCATTATTATTATTACTACTAACGTTATTATGATGGCTGTTTCCTTACTATTTGATGTTTGTGCTTTCCTCCCACTTTTAGTTATTTAAATTAACGAATTGGAGAACAGATTTCTCTTCTATATATGCTTGTCATATCTATGAAGAAGAAAACAAACAAAACATCATAAATGAATAAAAATAAAAGAAGAAACAGGAAAAGAAAATAATCTTAAACTATTCCAAAGACAAAAACATTAATGTCTGTCAAACGAATAAAAATCAAATTATCTTTAACTAGATGTATGAATGTATTGAACTGGAATTTTCACTGTTATTCAAAAAGACATGGATCCACTAGATGTTTGTTATGTTTATTTGAATTACAACCATTTAATTGAATAAATTTTTTGATTTGTAAACGATCGGAAAACAACAATATTTCTTAAGAGTGTAAATGACAGTGATAATAAATTGGATTTCATATAATCTGGATGAATGTATTATGTTATTATTGTTGATGGGGAACATAAAAGATGAACATAAATAAAACTGAATAATCTCATGATTTATGAGGTACATTTCAATTGTATATGATAGATAGTGAATTAGTTAAAGTATGATTTTATTTATATTTGAAGAATATGTGTTAAAATTGATTCAAACCTGTTTGTTATTCGCTTTATACATTACAACAATCAATCATCATTACAGTAAGTTATTTGTTATAGATTTGGATGATACTCAGTTGTGAAACGGTATATATATTTACATAAGTACATAAATATTTTGAGCATTAATTATCTTTAGTAATGAGAATGGTGATACGTTTACTGGCCTTAAGTATGCAGAAAAACCGTTAAAAATCTATTTGGTTATCATGTTTCGATAAAAGACTGTCTGGTAAATAGTTATCATATAACTATAACTAAAGCACTTCTAATACTAAGCTTATATTAAGAAAGTTCGATGGTTTTTCAGTCTAAAAATATGAAATATTTTTATAGATTTAAACACTAAATATAGTCAGCTAAAACTGATCAAGATAGAAGTATTATTTTGTTACAAATTTACCTATATATCGGATTGTGAGAGAGTCAAAGCATAATTAAAGCTTACTTGTTTAAAACATTTCCGTTAGTCTAAAATGGTTATTTAAAACCATTTTGAATAAACAGAGATGGATAGTGGCTAGCAGTGGAATCCAGGACGCGCGTTTCGTCCTATTTGGGACTCGTCAGTCCTAACAAATCGATGGGAAGATTCAAACAAACAATACTAAGTTGCATTTTGAATAAAGTTTCATTTATGGTAAAACTTTGTAGGCAACATCTGAAAATGATTTTTGTATAAAATACCAAATTTTGGTGATTGTAAAACATTTTTAAAATCTAATGCATGAATAAATTATGTTTTCAAATGGTTAATAAGATTTAGATGACTTCCTAAATAAAGACATAATGTTTACTAGCGACATTAATATTTTTAGTTTACTTCAAAAATCTAATGCAAGATTATTCAGTAATGCTGGATCACGACCCATTCAATGTTTTCACCAAACCATTTAGATCTTATTGTGAATACAATAAAATATAACCAATGAGTTATTCATCTGTTTGCTCAAATTCTTTATATGACAAATAATAACTTTTCATTCATCGCATCAGTTCATTTCCAATGGTCACAAAAGTATCATTTAGTTGAACGGTTCATTATGACTCTTCAATATGAATTTGGTTTCTATCACCCATGAGTATCATCCTAATATCCATTGAAAACTCAAAATCATTATTAAAACTTTCGTTAAATTTACTGACAATCTGGTTCAATTTTTAAGTTTTAGAGGATTCCTCCATTTTTAAATTAAGGAAATGTGCTATTGATAGGTGTAATAAACGTTGATACTTTTACGTCACACTGATAACTGCTATGATTGCTCCTTGTAACATAAAATAGTCATTAGTATCTCCTATGTTTTATTATCGATTATGCTTTAAAAATATATAATTGAGACTCAAAAAATCCTATTCATAATTATCCGAAAAAGTATGCTGAACACACGAAGCGGATAATTTGAATTTAACATGATAAACATGATAAGCCGGTGAAAAAAATCTTTCATGTGAGGTTTTCTGGTTATTTATTCATTTTTTATTTATTTATAGGGTTTACTTATTATTTTCTTTCAGACCTAAAATTATATAACAATCAAGATGCCTATTATATGTATCTTGGTATACGTATTACCACAAAAGCTTAATCATTGTCTGACTATACTCATAAGTTATTTTTTCAAAATAATATACTTTATCATTACTCTGAATTTGTCCATGTGAAAATAATAGAATAGAACTTAGTATTGAACTCTTGACTCTTTGAATCAAGAGAGCAATTTAAACATTTATATTTGATTCTTTAAATAAATTGAGTGATTTTCTAGAAATCTATGTATCCTTGCATTCATGATCAAAACTTATGGTTGACTATAACGTAACAACCTAATAAAAATATGAAACCTTAATAATAACAAAAGTCATAGTATTTTGACAAAGTATTTCAGTATTGTCAGTATCTACTTGCTAATTTATAGTTTAGGTAGATAAATGAAGCTCATTAGGGCTAAAATTCTGGAACATAAAATTTTTTATGAATGTTGTTTCGAGATATTACACATTACAATAAAGTTAACTATAAGAAACATCGATAAGCCCAGGTTAAAGCCTGTACATTAAATCTTTTTCTATGATTTGATCCTACCAATGCTTGCTTGTAAATTGTATTTAGCATATCATCATGTTATAGCATTTACATTCTTTTAATGTAATTTGGAGTACTAACAGAATAGAATTTTATTTTAACGAAAGATTTCAATAACAGTCAAATGATGCCTAAATAAAAATGAGCTGATTGTTTACTTTAACTAAAAAAACCCAAACATTCTTCGAATATAAGCAATTCCATGTAGAAAGATTGATTGGAATCTGCTGAACCCCAGAATTTTGATTTCGTAGTTTCAAATAATGGAATATAACGTGTAACTACCGTTTTGAGTCAATTTATGCTATTTGTCAGATTCGAACCGATATCATCAACTATGATAACATAAGACATTACTGCTGAACTTTTTTAAGGACTGAGTGACCTACTTAAGGAATAAAATTCTTACTCAACAATTACTCACCTAACCATTTTTAGAAGAACCTAAATTACGTACATCTATCAAATTACTGTTAAGACTATAGTAGTAAGTTAGATGTAAGGATTTAAATTGTTGAAAGTTATTTTTCAGCCTTCTCACTTTCATAAGCTATATACTCATATCTACATAAATAAGTTTTAATAAAGATTTAATACAACTTTCTTTTGTATACTTTGCAATTCTAATAAAACACAACTTTTGTATATTAGTATTTATTTGGATATTTGTGTAACATAAATGACAACCAAATTTACTACCCTGTAATTTGATGACTTAATGAACAGTATAAAAAAAGGAATATGACTTGTATCATACATATCAATGAATGTAAAAACAGTAGTTTAATTATTATTATTTAATTATCAGAAGGGGTTTTGTGAAGATTTAGTATGTTTCATAGTTGAAAGCATGAGTCAATTGAAGCTAGATGGATGCGCACTGCTGAGGAGTCCCATAATAGGACGAAACGGCCGTCCAGTGTTTCCAGGTTTTCCATGGTGGTCTAGCTTCAATTGACTCATGCTTTCAACTATTATTATTTATGTTGCTAAATATTATATGAACAAGTGAAATGTTTAATTTCCTTTTAAGTGATTTATTATGCAGTACAGTAATGATTACATTTTGTCTATCATTGTTATTACTTTCAAGCTTTCGTTGAATACATTGATGTTGGATTATGTAATCATTGTTTAATCTTTTATCGATATAATATTATTCTTATGACCAATGTACATTTAATTATTTCGTGTTTCCATTTGTTACTCAATGATATAAAAAATTAAAAGCTCGTAAATTTATGTGACTCAATGTTTTCTATAAATTTTTGAAAGTAGTATAATGGGGGAGTTTATATAATGTTTATCCTATGTTCAATTATCTTAATCGATTGTAATTAACTACTGACTAGAAGTTCTAGGAATAGTATTTATTTATGTAAAAACAAGTTAGCGGCCTACTTGAATTTATGGGCTACCTGTTTCTGTCATCTAGATATTTTAACAAATCATCCATTTCCTTTGTTTGCTTTAAAATACTATTATCTCTTTTAATCGCGAGAACTGCGCAGAAGCGCTTATGAAAAGTTTACGATCTTACACTATACAACTTACAAAAAATAACAATCAACGACATCGTGATATCTGAAAATAGTCATTGAGAATAATGAACATTATTCAGATGTCTATGCCTAAACTGCTAACATCATATTGGCGATCACTCAATATTTATCGTCAAGATCTATCAAAAAACAAGAAAAGGAAACTTGTTGAAATGCTTTGTCCTGAGAATTCTGTATTGTACCAAAAATATAGTATTAAATAAAGCCACTAATAATAAAAATAATGATTAGTGTAGAATACTTTCAACCTACTACTCACTGTTGATAAGCAACTGTGGTATATTCTAGCTTATTAAAAAATAAAATAAATGTTAGCAGTAAAAACATTTAACCGTGAATGAACAGGCATATCAAAAACTTAATTTCACGAATACGAATTAATCCTAGTTGATTTATTATAGCTAACCGATTAATAAATATCAATCTTATCATAATTAGCAAGTAAATAGACTCACGCGACTTATCTGAAGTTGGAAGTTTTCTCTACAAGATTCTAACAAACTAACTTATGAATATCAAACTCGTTTTCACATTTATACAATGTAAGTTAGTTTACAATGGCCATCTAGTAAATTCTAGTCTATAATAATTCTTAAACTGATATTAATCTGTCATGAAAACTAAATTCAAATTAGTAGACATAAAATACTAAAACTATCATTATTTAGGCTGTAAAATAGTTCCGTCTCTACTAATATTCAGTAATATAACATTAATTTAAAAAAAAAAGATTTATCAGAAATAACTGAATTTTTCCCTAGTGACAAAGTAATTCAATTAGACAATACTTTTTTTAAAAAAATAGACAAGTACATTAGCAACAAATATAACAGACAATTCTAATTAGCTTTTTAATACGTACTTTATGCTTATTAATCTAATTTAGTTTCTGTAAAATCATTCAATGTAAAGGAAATTATAAAGTGATTATATTGTGTTTAATCAAAGAACTAACTCTAGTTAAACTTCATAGTTGTGGATTAATTAGAATCAATGAAAAAAAAACACCAAGAAAATATCTAGAGTATTTCTGATTTATAATTTAATTAAAACAAAAAAAGGCGCAAATTGAATAACAATAATTCATTGGTAATTTGTATTTGAGGATACTGAGATAAAAGAGAAAATATACTAAATACACCTTCAGTGTTTTGTTTTTATATAAGAGATTTAAGTCTTCTGAAGTTTAGAAGTTGTAAAGAAATTGTCTTGTGAATTCAAGAAAGCAACTGAAGCTACTTTCAATGTTCAATATTCTGTGAACTAAGTGCTTGATTCATATTATACACCTCAAAATGTTCAAACGATATAAAATCCTTAATTTTGTTATAAATCTTTCTTACAATCAAGAAATGATAGGTATTTGTCAATCTTTTCACTTGACCACAATATAA